ATCAACGTTTTGTGAAACAAAGTATTACGAGTACTACTAACGAGAAATTAAGAAGTGTGCTGGTATCCCTTTCAAAATAATTATTTAACTATCTTTTTGTATAAGAAAAAAAAAAATCCCTTCACTTGGATAAGGTTTTTTTTTTTTTATAAGTATTTAAAAGTGCAATATTTTGATGCAATATAGTTTTTGCCATGTTTCCGCGAAAAATTTTCTACTTAAAGATTTTTCATTTTCAAGTTAATAAAAAAATGTTTTTATGATAAAAAAAAATAATCTTACCTACGCAGGCTACATGATGAATTGAATGAAGAAAATATTTTTATAGAAATAAACATAAAACTTGATAAAATGAAAACTCCTATAGTACGAAACCTCCGTGAGTCCCGCCGTAGTGTCTATATCATTAAATAAATAAATGAACGGAAAAAAAAAAAAAAAAACAAACAAACCCAAAACTCCCCGTTGCAGCTGACGCCTGCTTTGAGTTGACCTACTGCGCCGCCTGCGGCAAACGCGAGCCCATAACCGGATCGAAGCTAAAGCAGCGTCTGACCCAGTGCGACGCGTGCCTAGCCAACCTGGAGTTCCAATGTGCTCGTTGTTTCAAGATTTACAAGCGCCTCAAGTCCCTGCGCTTCCATCAACGCCACGACTGCAACAAAGAGCCGACTTTCGCCTGCGGCTGTTGCAACTACAAGACCACTCGGAAGGCTAGCCTACAGACGCACATAAAGTGCAAGCACAGCGTCGTCAAGGCCGTGCACAAGTGCAGCAAGTGCGGCAAGTGCTACAAGCACCGGTTTCACATGCTGGGCCACGAGAAGCACTGCGGCGAGGCCCTCATCAAGTGCGATTTGTGCGAGTACCGCAGCAACAGGCCGAGCAATCTCAGGCTCCACTTTCGCAACATACACACGGACCCCAACACCATAGACATGTACGAGTGCCAAAGGTGCGGAAAAGCATACAAGCACTCCAAGAGTTATCACAAGCACAAGCTCGTCTGCGGTCGTGATATCAGGTACAACTGCGCCCACTGCGACTATTACACCGGCAGCAAGTTCACGCTTTTGGTCCATCTCAGTCAGACTCACAGGGAGGAGGTTTTCCCACATGGTAGACCCACCGGAAAGAAAAACGACAGGACGCCCAAGTAGGCGTTTGTCTTTGCGAACTAATTGCTCGTTTTATTTTCTTTTACTCGTATACACATTTTTGGACGAATTCAAAAGTATTTTCTTTTTTTCCAAGAACTTTATTTTTAATTTAACTCGAAGACTTGTCCATGTCACGTGGATGTATTGTTGAGTTTTAGTGGCAGATTTTTTTTTCCCCCTTACATTTTGATTTATAAACCTATTGCCACGACAATGTATTTAGTTTAATTTGCGGATATTGCGTTTACTCGCTAGAGTGACGTTTTTTGTTTATTTTTAATGTAATATTCCATGTTAATTGATAACGAAAGAGAAATAATGTAATTATATGTATATTATTTATCTACACAACAATAAATATATTTTACCACGGTACAATTTCTGTGCGTATTTAAAAAATATGTCCTGTAATTTTGTGTTTTGTTTTTTTTTCTGTATTATTTTATATTAAAATTTCGTATGTCGTTTCAGGTGAAATTTCGTCAACGGAAACGAATTTTTGTGGGCCCGAAAAAGAAGAAAAAAACTGAAGATCAATTTTTTTCAAGCATACACATATCATGTATACTGTTATTTTTGTATGATTTAAATTTTGTTTCGTTTGGAAGCATCACATTGTGTACCTCAAAGAAACATTTGAGAATCTGTTTCAATAAAATATTTTACTATTTGTTTTTTTTTGTTTGTTTGTTTTTTACTTCATTCTTGTGCTTTACTAACACTTATGCATGTACTCGAAAATAAATACAGCAGTAATTCAATTATTAAATATAAATGTGTAAAAAATTTCTAAATAATTTTATAGGTTTGACCTTCGAAGTTCAGCCCTTACTGAAGATTCGTGAAATCCGCTCGCTCAGCTCGTTCGAGGATTCTTGCTTGGGTAACAGCACTATTTATTTTTTTCTTCGATAATTAGCTCTGCATATTGAAAAAATCTGTATTAATAAGAGCCTCGTTCGTTCGTTCGTTGTCAGATGGCGAAAAAACTAGGATCAGGAAGAAAAATCCCAAGTACCTTGACTACTTCGCCGAGGACGAAACAGAGACTGAACTCGAGATGGAAGACCAATCATTTGTTTCAAATCTCAATCAACGACAGTCAAATCCACCAAGTTTGTACAAATTACAATATATTATCACGCCAAAGTGGTTCACATGATTTTTTATTAAAAAAAAAAAATAATAATAAATAAATCATAAAAAGTATCCATCAGCGTGTGTCTGACAACGACGTCAAGTGGCGCATATAATTGCAGGCTTTCCTTTAATAATAGCCCTC